TTTTTATTATCATTATCAAATATCTTAATCACATTTACTAGCCTAAAAGTTTTATGGACTTGAAAATTTATAAAGTGTCGATAAAAAAAGTAATTAGAATCTATTTAATATGCACATGCGCTGTAGACTACATATAATTTTATTCTTAATTTTCTTAAAATATAAGTGGCTTACATATTACTTTTACACTTTTACAAGATTTCTTATAAAAAAGGTAAAAGAAATATTTTTATTTGTAGAGGTTTAAGATTTACTTTTTAGTCTATGGTCCGAACGATTCTTCAATCTTATGTTTTCCAGTAGAGAAAAAATTAATAATTTTCCTTCCGAATTTTCCCAGCAATACGGAAATAATAGTTTTAACTTAAGCAAACGTCCACTTCATTTATTCATTCAACAGTTTCTGAAAAAATGCTAGTTTTTTATTTAGTTTTTGGTTTATATCTCCACTTCTATTGATCTTCAAGAAATTCTTTGAGCACCCATCACTTTGTCATCTAATTTCCTTTAAGGCAGACACTTTCGCTAATACATTATTAATTGTTAATAACATGTAAATGGCAAAAAAATGTGGAAAAAAATTTCTTATGCTGGAGAACCTTAGATCGACGTAAAAAAAAATCTTGTTAGTTTAAACACAACCGTAGGAAAGTATAGGTACTAAGTTACATAATAAACAGCTATTTGTAAAATTGAAAAATAATTGTTAGTTCTTTGTTACTTGATTTTTAAAATTAAATTCAAAAAGAATTTTACAAACTTTACGGTCGGTTGAACGACATTTTGCTTTGATAAAAACATTATATTTAATCTAAATAATAATACAAATTTTTGAAAACTAGATTTTTGTGAGTTTTAACGCTTTGCCAGCCAAAGTTGTATTCTGCAACTTAAACAATTGCAAAGATCTCAGTTAATTTTGCATCTTTTTTTTCTGATTAACACCACTGAATTTGTCTTTAAAAAAAACGCGAATTAAAAAAAATTAAATGCTGTAGCTTACTTTGAAGCCAAGATACAAGGAATTGATGTTGTTTGCAAAAACGGACTGATAATTGAATTTTTCATTGCGAAAAAATTTGTGTATCATCTTTATGTATTTCTGCATCAGACTGTCAGAGCACTTTCTCAATTTCTTTGAAAGAAAAGTTGAAAAAAATTAAGAAAGTCATATTGCAACAACCAGCAGCGCTCTTTTGGGTACCCTTTCTTTGTTACTAAGTGGCCGACCGGTTGCAGTGCGTACGTATCAAAACACGGGCTACTGCTGGCGTTTGAATTTGAAAAAGTTGTTTTACATTATTATACAGTTACAAACACAGTATTTAACATTGAATATGCTTGGTGAACAAATTAAATGTATAAGGTATGCGCAATAAGAAATACATATTTATTTAAATTTTCGTATAAACTAAATTTTAACTTAGAAATTCATACGACCAATGGCATACAAACGAATGTTGATACATCTAAATCATTGTATCAAGAGGTGCATATGCATAGATGGCAGCACTTTTAATATAAGCACTTTATATCCTCCATACATGCCCTTTTTTAAATATTCAATATACTTACTTAAAACTCACAATATTACACCACATGAATTCTTCAAGAAAATTTTTTTAAGAAATAAATAAGAATGAGAAAAATATCCTCCCCGGGTGCGTATCGAACACACAACCTCCTGTTTGCTAGAAAGTTGCTCTACCACTTCAGCTACCAAGGAGCTGTACATTCATTCGCACCGTAAGTTTAGATAAGTTTCTCATTCTTAATTTTCAGAGCTATCTTTTCACCAGAGCCCGATAAAGTAGATATGTGATTCTAATGCCTAATGCTTGTCTTGGTTTAATGGTGCTACTTTTGCGTTACATCGGTATTGGTTTCTGCGTCCATTCCTTCAGGCAATTTGTGCACGGTTAAAGGTATTTTCAATGAATTGTCGTAAATGCAGTCATTTTTATTATTCAAAACTTTAACGTGCCCGAAGTTAGAGCCATTCCTTCCTGATCACTCTTTATTTACTTTTGTGCAAATTAAACTGTTTAGATTTATATTGCATTGCAATGACAAATTCTTAAAGAAAATGTATGAAAAAAAATTCCAACTCTGTTAGAAGATAAAAATTTTATTTTAGTGCATCAACTTTTTTTCTGTAATACCATGAAGATATACTTGGTAAAGGTTCATTAATTAAGCATATTAAATGTTTAACACTGTGTTTGTGACTATAATTATGTAAAGCAAATTTAAGTTCGTGTTTTTTTAATGACAAATCCAATGAAGTTTGTTATAAAAAAAGTATGCAAAATTAACTAAGATATTCGTGATTGTTCAAGTTGCAAAATAAAATTTTGGCTGGGAAAACATCAAAATTCACAAAAATCGATTTTTTCTTATTTGTTGTTAATTCTAACATTAAATACAATGTTTTTACTAAAGCGAAATGTTGTTAAGCTGACCATAAATTGTATATTATCACTTGAAAGTCTTACTTTCAACAATTAATTCACAAAAAACTAATACTTATTTTACAATTTTACAAACAGCTGTTTGTTATGCAACTTAGTACCTATACTTTCTTACGGTTATTTTTAAATTAACAAGATAGTTTTTTTTTACGTCAATTTAAAGTTTTTTAATATAAGAAACTTTTTTCAGCACTATTTTATCATTAATATGTTATTCACAATTGATAATGTGCTTGCAAAAGTGTTTGCTTTATAGGAAATTGGATGACAAAGACATGAGTGCTCAAAATATTTTTCTAAGAGCAGAAAATTGACATTTTTTCACAATTTATCAAATAAATAAATGAAGATGACATTTGATTTGGACCAAACAATTTTTTTATACCAAATTTCATATTCAAAATTAATTAGGCATACTTTATTTACATAATTTAAAAATTTGAGAGATTTTCATAACTTCAGTAAAAAATTAACCAAGCTACCTTAAGCTGTGTGTTAGTGTGAATATGTCATACTTGCGTATATTTAATAATGCAGCCATGTTGAACAGGTACGATATACATGGTGGTGGCTCATGGTCGCGGATGGAAGAAATAGGAAGAGGACATCATGCATCCTTGGGAAAGAATATCCTGATGTGGTCGTAACCGTAATTTATGGTTTGATTACCATATGACTAGTGATTAAATTAGAGATTATGCTTTTTTGATAAGCAGTAACATTGTTTCTCGAAACATTATAATAACCATTTATTGACAATGTAACCATGACTGATGATATAATATTTTTTGATTCTTACTACAGGATTTTGTACTATTAAAATATTCCTCAAACATTTAATAACAAGCATTACAAAATTTTCACTGTTTTAAATTACCATAGCCTTGAGATACACTTTATGCATTACTGCAATTGCATAACATTTATTTAATGCTGTTTCTTTTTGAGAAGTATATATCTGATTTATTTTTGAATTACAATTATTGGTTCTTTTCACTGTACAGTTAATGTTAAAAGTTGTTTTAATAAATACTTTTGTAACTCTTATACCTTTAAGAACTATTAGCCTTATACATGAAAGAATTTAAGTGGAATTTCTGTCACATGATTTCAATTTAAATAACATAAGAACTAATCTCCTTTCAGTAGCTATTTTATATTTAAAATTGTCTCTATTCTGTTCCTGATACATTTAGAGTGTTAGCGATGATGGTATTCTTTAAGGAAAACAGAGCTTAAAACTGTTTCCTTGAGATTTACAAAAAATAAAAAATAAAAGCAAAAATCGTTATGAATGAATGATTTCCTAAATTATTTGTTTTATATACAGTGAAATTCGAAGTAATATGTTAATTTTTTTTATAATGCCATAGTAGGTTTCACATATATTAGACTATTTAAGTTCATGCAATTAGTTTCAAAAAAATCAGTGAATTACTTAGAAATTTACATCACATAAAAATGATCTAACTATTCAACAATTTTAAAAACAGATTACACATAACTGTATCTGCATTAAATGTGTAATAACAAGAATTAAAAAGTTATTATTTCACAAGACAGTAAAAAATATTATTTTGAATCAAACTAAAATAACTTTTTATGACTGCTATAATATTTTTGTCAATCAGTTTAATTAAGTAGTTATAACACATCGTTAAAAATATTTTAATAGAATAAAAGTCAATAAAGTATGCAAATTATGTTTAACTAAGCATTTAATGTTCCATTGCTTTTCAAATTTTCTCTTATTCTCAAAAATTTTAATTTCAAATCAAACCAGAATAACTTTTTATTACTACTGGAATATTTTTATTGATTAGTTTAATAAACCAGTTATGATTAATTATTGAAAACATTCTTATTAAATAAAAATCTGAAAGGTAAGAAAAACATACTTAAGGAATCATGTAATGTACGTTTATTTGAGAAATTTTCTTTTGTTTCACTAGATAGTCACACATTTAACAAAAATAAACTTCCAAGAAATATGAGAAGTCTGTTATTCTTACTAAGTAATCTATAAAACCTTACAAGACCTTTCGAGATAGTTTTACTAATAATGTCTTCCATTTCAGCTCAATGTTTCTATCATAACTTTTATTTAGATCAAACAAAAAAACGTTTCTTTTATACTTGAAAAATTGTTTATTTCTATTAATACATCTCTTATTCATAAAAATAAATTTTTTATTTTTTAGTTCTAAGTAACCGTCGTATGTCTCAATCAAATCTTTTAAAGAAAGTTACACCTAGTGGATGTGATGTGACAAAACACAACGTAACATGTAGTTTCAAATGTCAAAAAAAATAAAAAAAACACTGTGCATCTTATGAGAGAAGCCAATTAAAGAAAAATGTTGCATGGAAAAATTTAACCAAGCTGTCAAGGCAGATATCCTTTTATATTCTTACACGTCTAAAATGATAATTACATAAAATAACTAAAACTAAGAAAAATTTCTATTTAATTTTGTTTATTAAACGTTTTAAAACGAAAGTTATTTCGAACTAAATTAATGATCTTACCTCATCGTCATAGATATTCTCATGATCTGCCATTGAAATCAGTTACTAACGATTCTATAATATAAAATATTACAACCGAAAAAAAAAGTTATGACTTACTGCAGCAAGAAAAAGCTGTCTCGAGATATACATTCTCGTTTTGAGATTAAGGGATGCTGTATAATTTTACAGAGTCTGCGCATTCAAGCAACTTTGGATACAAGTTCAATCCACTTATTAACTCTAAATGTCTTGAGAAATTTTAGGAAAGCATTTTAAAGGAATGCGTTTTTATAGTAGGTCAACAAGTATATACAACTGGAAATTCATTAGCATATTAGTATCGGTAAAAAAGTTGAAAATTTTTGGAAAGTGTCTTTTTTCTACCATACTATCATACTATTACCTTACACTACGATCAACTAGGACTGTAACAGTCAAGCTTACAAATAATAAAATACATGGGGATAGTTAACAGCACCGTACGTTTCTTAGATTTTTCAATAAACAAACTATTTACTTATAATTTGTCACAAAGGATCGTAAGACACATGTCAACTACTCAATAAATCTACTAGTTTTATAAAATGCTTCTTAAGTCTTAAAATATAGTTGGTGTTTAAAATTTTCTTATTACCTTTTGGAACATGTTTACCACTTATGATCAAGTATTTTCTGATGTGTTTATTAAGATCATGCCTTTCCACATTCTTACTGAAGTTTTTATCAGCCAGCAAATAAGAATTAAATTTCTTTTTGGACTACACAAACCTTAAAAAAGTTAAGAGAACTCGATTTTCCTAAATTTCTTACGTTATGCAGAGAATTTCTCAAAAATGTTGGGAAAAAAGCTCAAAACTTTCAATAACATCCATTAATTTAGGTAACTTACTGTCACTTGTGGACTTATAACTTGATATAGTAGGTGGCCTACTCAATTATTATTACAGAAAAAACAGCACTTTGAAGCTGGGATCGTAGTTTTCCTACTATTATTTATACATATTAGACGGAGTATTCTTCTCGCTTACAATGGTCCTACAGTATAAAAATCCTTCTTTTTGTGTGGTTTTATCTTAATGGTTGTACCTTATACGTTACCAGTATGTACCTGCAAACTTACATAAAAGGTATCCATATAAAAAATGTTAACATCATGCTGTCGTATTAAGAACATTTGTATGAGGGTAAGTTGTATTAGGATTTTATTTTTAAGATAACATATATGAGGTAAAAAAATCTCTGGCTTTATTTGAGGGTAAGGTAAGTGTGCAATGTACATGTTAAATTGTTGATTTGGCAATGTTTTTTGATGTAAGTTGTAGCAGTCTTATTTTGTCTTTATTTTGTCTCTGCAACATAGTTTGAGAGTCCCAATTGTCTTTAAATTTTTTCTCCATCACTTCCGACAATAACAAACATTGCCATCAACTGGTAGATAAGTCTTGGCCCTGTACGGCACGCAATCACTCTTTTTAATAAGCGATTAATTGTGAAAAAAACCACAGTTTTTAGTTATTACCAACAAACCCAGTTATGAATAACATTTTAAGCGATTTTGACTATTCAAATTTTTTATTGTGTTCATCGCGACTATTTTGTTAACTTATTCACAAATACTGTAATCTGTAATAGATCGTTTTATTTGTCACGTCCTCGAAAATTTTGTCAACACCAACGTATTGTTTTGCAGTGTCTGTGCAAATAAAACTAGAAGTTGCCTTTAGATACATACTTTTCTACGTAGGGCCAAAAATATTTCCTGGTCTTGTAGTTGACCCTGAAAAAGAGCACTGTCTTGCTCTCCTTGCAACACGGGCCCAAGACAATAATGGTCATCTGATCCACGATGCGTTTCCAATGATACTTTCTCTTCGTGAGGAAAATTTCATCGACTTTTACGGTTTTTTCCTCACAACCAAGTTCAAAGTCAACATACAGCTCTATCACCTCAGCAAGCTCACTGCAGTAGCTGTAATAATTTATTACTGTATGAATGCTGAACTCAAGATTGTTTCCGTAGTAACACCTAGCCAGTAAATGTTAAAATATATAAGAAATTTAATGTTTATAAGAGTTTATACTACTGAAATAATAATAATACTACTACACAATAGTGCATATTTCTTGCAAGCACAATAATACTATAACACTACAATACTCACCTGATACAAGGCTCTCACAAGCGATTACAGTTGCTTCTTTCTTGTCTACTGCTTTAGTCAAGTAAAAAATTTGACTCTTGTGTGTATATATATGTATATACACACACGCTGCTAGGCAATAGCCCGAACAGAAATGAAAGTCGGTAGCCTCTCTAGTTCATGAGGCCCTACTTAGGCAGCCTACTGAGGGCACAAGTAGGCGCGTCAGGGGGCGTGCGTGAGGTACTCATTAGGCAGCCTACATAACCTACCTTTATCTTACTTCTCGAATAGTATTTACAGTTATATCAGCTACAGTTGCAGTGTAAACTGTAGCGTAAAATTATACACAGGTACACAAGTTACAAGTGTCTTTCATTGAGTCCTATACAAATGATTAATGAGTATTCTTATACATATGAGACTGTCAAAATCAATCGACATTAAATTTGTTGTCAACTAAACAAAGTTTCTCAAAGTACTGAATTAGAAATAATAATTGGTGCTTCAAAAAATTTTAATAAGAACTATGTAAAAACCGTACTAAGATTATGAAATTTAACATTTAACAGCTGTACACTGTCCTTTAGATGTCCACTGTCAAATCAAGTTCATCTGCCATTTAATTGAATCAATACGTTTTTGTATGAAAAAAAAGTAAACTGCAGTGTGAGCATGTAATTTGTATTAATTCCTTAGCGATTATTTAAAGTTCCTCAGAATTAACTCACGAATCACATGTTCATATTGTAAACTTGATATCAATTGTGAATGAGAGATATTTTTAAGGTGACATTTATATCTTCATTTATGTAAAATTTCTATTTATCTTAGGGTTATATATTTTTGTAACTACACGTGATCAACAATGCCATGATGAAAAATTTTCATGAAGAAATTAAATATGATTCGTTTAAAATGAAGCATGACTTTTGTTCAATCATAATACAATGTGTATTCTTATATGTACATATCTATATTTATCGATTGAAAGGTGGTTATGTTACGTCAATGGAGGCAGCCTACTTAGGGCCTACCAAACGCCACCTGACGCTACCAACGTAGGACCTCAACTGTTCGCCTACTTACAATTTCCGTTCGAGAGGCCCTGCTAGTATGTATATATACATTAGCCTCGCTCTCTGGTGCGTTCCGCACGCCAACCCCTGAGAAGGAAGAAAAGGCCAATGAATTGAATCTTGAGACAAATTCTTAAGCTATAAAATCAATTAATTATGATTTACAAGTTGATAGCATATGTAACAAATCTAGTACTGACATGTCACCCTATGAATTCTAAAAATTTTAATTTGGATAAGATTTAAAAAAATGTGAAGACCATTTTAGTAAAGATTTTATCAGTAATAAACGTATTCGTGCTCTCTCACACATAAATCACATTTTTTAATCAGAAAATAAGTCTTATTAATATGTCAGTTAACCGAGTTCTATAAAAATTTATGTAGAAAAAAATTGTAATCTTATGGAAAATAAATTGTATACTAAAGTGTCATAATACTCTTACAATTAATGAAATCCAAATAAAATAACATTTCGAAAATAGCATGTAAAAAAATAAGAAGTATTATATTTTTATGGTCTTTGGGATACAGAAAAAACACTCTTATACTAATAAAACCTTAAAGCATTGAATTATTTTTCTTATTGAATAAGTTTTATTGATGGCATGGACACGTGCGGCCTCAATATTACTTTTTAAGGGAATGCTTAGTCATAGAAGTTTTTGTTTACTATGAGATTTGAACAATGCTGACCGTTTATTTTTCGAATCAAAATTGAAGAGAAAAAAATTAAAAGAAGTAGATTTCATAATTTAGGAAGATCACAAAATTCAATGATCCAAAAAAAAATCAGTAGAAATTGTCAATAGAACTTAGCGTGACTTATATGATGCAGACATATATTTTGGAAACAAATTAATATTTTTAGGTAAAGATTTTCATATATTCTGACAGTTTTAAAAAAGAATGGAAGAAGTATAGTGGTTCTTGAAAGTATTAAATCATCTTTTTTTTTGTCACATTTTCATACAATATAATAAGGTAATAATTCTTGCTGTCGTAACTAAGAACTTTTATAATTACTGTTAGAAAATGGAGAAGGGCAGTTAAAATGATTTGAAATTTATAAAACATGAAAAACTGATGGTGTATGCTTGACAACTTTTTTTTAATTAAAAATTGTGCAATACATTATGTTGTTCTCACTTCCCATAATAAATACACTTAATTTTCAAACAACAAAATTCCACATAATTTACCAGGAGAAATTGACCCTAAGTATAGCATAGATAATTAAACTTATGAATGGGTTAATGAGTCTGACGACGATATTTACATAAATTTTTTAGTTAATTTAAATAATATTCGTGAAGATTTGCCACCTCAAAAGCTAAATTTGAAAATTAAAGTGATCGTCATGATAATCAGGAATTAAAGAATTACTGACGGTTCATATAATGGCATAATATTATAAATTACAAAAATATTTAGATATATCATGGTAGGTAAAATTATAACTCGTGGAAATATCGGAAAAAAAGTTTTTACTCCAACTTTGAATACTGGATGTACGTATTTATTACCCTTTGTTGTGTACGAAATGCAATTTCTTTTCGTATTCAGTTTTTCAACGACCATTTCAATAAATTAAGAAACCTTAAGGCTAGAGTTTTGACTGAATTGGTTTATATTTAAACAAAAACTTTTTTCTGCATGGTAAATTGTATGTTGCTTTATTAAGATCCCAAAGTAAAAATGAATTATTCATTTAAAATAATTGTAATGATAAACTAGAACTCGAAAATATAGTTAAGGAATTTTTTTTTTTATTATATTCAATTGTATTTCATAAAAAAATTTTACAGGACAATTTTATCTTTAAGTTTTTTGAACATCATCCAGATTAAAATATAAAATGCAAAATTTTCTAATTAAACTACAGATTTTAGACTCATAACTAAGTAGTTTATAACAAATTTCTTCTGATCCAGTATATAA